AAGTTAGAGACATGTTATGTATAAATTACTCATTGGTTATTTTGTTCAAATCGTTAACATAACAGTATGTACAGTCCAAAAGGTGCTTCTAATTGATGTTAGTTTTCTCTTCTTCAGTGTGTGCCAGCGTGTAGGACACAGTCTGCATGTCAGAAAAACGGTCTCAAACATTATAATGTGACAGGACCTTAAACAAAGATATTCTAGTTTGCATCCATATTATCTACATAGCACCCTGCTCACCTTTGCTGTTGGGAGTGTAGAGGGTCTTATCAGTCTGTATGAAAATGTACCCAGACTGGAAAGACACCAGGACCACTTTCTCCAGCTCTCGGTCAGGGAACTTTGCTTGCAGGTAAACATACTGTTTCACTGTGGGATCTCTATCAAAGCCTCCAGCTGGGATCTGAAACCAGAATCAAAAAACATGTGCCTCCTTGGTTACGAGGGGAAACAGAAGAGGAGATAAAACAGATGTTTCCCTTTGGGCAATTTTACTATTTATTAAAAGTAAATAAAAGTTATTTTATTTACAGTTATTTTTCCAAGCCCCTGGAAGTCATTGTTACTGGTAAGGGTCACAGATGTCTTGGCCAGTTCTTGGCTTTTGGTCGGGTGGTTCATCACTTTGATCTCGACGTTAATTGCAGCTCCACTGCAGCCTTGACATTCTACGAAGACGTTTTCTGCTGTTCCAACTCGCAGTAAGTTGGGGGCAGACAACACTTTGCTGCAAAAAAGACAAATTAACGTAACATAGCATAAAACCTGAAATAATTGTGCTCAAACTATATAAACATTGGCTAACAATGTGTGAAACACACATTAATGGTCAGGTGTTTGTCACTATAAATTGATCATCTTCTCAATAAAAATGAAACAAAAGTAAAGGAATATTTTCCATCTTAGGGTGAATAAAATTCTAAATTCTGCTTCCTTCTCATTTGTTCTCTTGACTTAATTTTAAATTTAGAAAATTAGGAAAGCTCCTGACCCTCTAGGTGCTTTTTTAATCTGTTGTAATTGTTTGTTTAGTTGAGGGTTGCTTAGACTTTGTACTCAATCAGTCATCCATTGATTATCTTGATGAAGATGCAGCAGTGGATCGATCAACCTTGTATCATGACTCTGACTTTGTTCCAAGTTTCTGTTGAAACTCATCAACACAATGTAAGTTTTGTATTGTGTTTCAGTAAGCAGGGTGGACATCAACTGAATTTAAGACACTATCAAGCAATAAGCACTATAACAGTATTTATACTTTTAGGAGGCATTTTAGCAGAAATGATCAGGAAAAAAAACATGAAAAAACAAAACTGTTTTCTAAAATTCTGGTTTAGCCACACCAAAAGTAACAAGAAAAATCCTGTTTGAGCTTTGTTTTCTATAAATCGAAGTAGATGTGCAAAGGTTCAGAAGATGTACTTACAGAGCTCCATCAGCAAGAGAAGTCAATGAGGCAAAGGCCAGAGAGGCCAGCAGCAGCAGATGAGTCCTCCTCATCCTCCAACTTGATCCTGATCTGCTGTCAGTGTGGATCCAGGCTGTACAAACTCTTTTTATCCACTGACTTTGGTTTTGTGCCCACCCACCCACGTTTCCTCTCCATCTATCCCCCTCCCGTCAGCACATTCAAAAAACAAACAGATTTACACGTGAATTCCCAGCACCAGTTGAGAAATTGTCCTCTCTGATGAAAAGAGTAAACAGAAGAAAATCAATAAAGGTTTATAGTTTTTTTACTTATAAACAAAACACAGCTATGATATTGGCATGATGCTTTTAAAAGTTATATTTTTTTTAGTCAGCTTTTGACTTGAAAACCTAACTTTTCGATTTTTATCCTGATTTTTTACATTTTAAAAACCTGCAGATTTAAAGATCCTGAATCAGCACAAACATGTTGGACACCAGTTTTGCAAAAGTCTTTTGCACAATTTCTTAGTTGATAATTAGAGGGACTTTTTAAAGTTACCTAAACCACTTGGCAAACTTTTTACATACTTCTCATTACATTCTAATAGATTAAAGGTAATTAGTAAGAACATTAGGTTTGAACTTTTAAAATGTTTACCTTTTTTTTTTCAGAAGGACATGGCTTTTATTTCCTTTCAACTCTTTTAACCCAGTTTATACCCCTTTCCTATTTTTTCCATTAGCTCCTGTCTGAACAAGCTGAACAGATTTATACATAAATTCCCAGAAGGTGTTGAGAAGTTCTTCTGATCTGATATATGCTATCCCCTCTCTAAGAAGTAATTAGAAGAAAATCAGTATTGTTACTAGTACACATATGACTGGTATAAGTGAGGTAGAAAATATTAAAATACCTAATGAACACAAATTAATATTATAGTATCACATTTCGCAAAATTTACAACAAAACTGGTRCCAAGCAGTCTCAAGAAAATCCTGTAGTCTTTCAAATGGGCTAATTTTTCACAATGCTGTTTATTTAATTTCCTACATGGTATAGAATGATTGACAGACGTCCCGTTATGTCCCCTCGATTTGCTGCTCATTGGGGTTAATTTTGTTCAGTCCAGGGGCATCCTTAGGCCACAAGCTTTAGCCAATGAGGGTGGAAGTACAATAATCTGCCTCGAGCACGAGTGTATGTGGGTAGTGGTTTGGAACTTACTGAATATGATGGCAAGTAAGATTAACAAAAACTAGAAGAATTAATTAATTTCTCACCCATTTTTCTTGATGTCTTTGGTGGAAAAATGGAAATGAAGAGGTTATTGGTGAATAAACTAAAGGATATTCCAATCTAGCAAAATGTAAAATGGCAAAACTGATATTTTTCCTGTGACTTGGATTCAGCAAAAGGACTGGCTAACGGGAAGTGTAGCTAACAAATCTTTTCTGCTGTCTGTATTTGCTGTTTGGAGAAAACACAGCTTGGACCCAAAAAGTTSTTGGAATCCAATCTGCAGTGTTTTATTATACACCTATAACGGTTAGCCCACCTTACAAATATCACCAGCCACTACTGCTAGTATGTCTCACTAACTTATGAACATTAAAACAGCTATATGTAGTCAGGTTTTGAGTAAAAAAAATCTTGTGTCACCTAGGATTTTTGTCCTGCCTTTTGCTAATCAATAAACATGCGGAACAAGTTCAAATACATAGCGCAGGCCCTTCAAATGTTTTGTTGGACAACTTCTAAGTAGGTTACAGTTACAAAACTGTTTTCAGGAGCAAAATTAAATTTATACTTAAAAAAATACAGTAATTACTCTCTTTTAATTGTTCATAAAACAAATTTTTAGTCTCTCCACACAGCCCAGGTGTAGACAATGCAAAAAGCTTTGCACCCCCCTTCCACAGTGAAACAACATTAAAGGTGTAATAATCCTCCTGAACAGTTGGTGGCAGTGTTTAACATTTTTAAACATCACCAAGCTCTATCACTGAAGACAAATAATGACAAGGAAGTGATGATTTTTGTTAAATACAAAATGCCCAGTGGTGGGCAGCGCTATTTCAAAATTTACTTCACAATTTCAGCAACATTGTACAAAATCTGTTTTAGAAAATTGCATCTCAGGATACATATGAACCTTACTGTCGGACCGGAAAGTTTTCTGTATTGGAGCAATTACAGAGACGACATTTCAGCTGGTAAGATCATCCAAACACTTACTGATCATAATGTTAGAAATCTTAAGGAATAGACCAAACAACACATGAACAGAACAAAGAGTTGTTTTTCAGCTTACCTGGGCAGGCGACAACAGTGTTTAATCTGCAAAGGACTAGAAGTAGTTAGTATTGCAGCTTGGCAGATGCAGTTTCACCCCAGTGTTAATTTTTTGTTTGTTGCTGCTGTAGGTAAAATAAGAATGATTAAATTAAAAAATATATATTTGCAGGAATATACTTTAATTACCTCGAGGGGCACCACCGCGTTTTCTGGGGAAAAACGCCAGCAAACCCGATTATTTTTGATAACTCACAATCAGATTTTAAATTAGTTCTTATGAATACCGAAAGAATGAGTACTTTTTCAGTGTTCTGAAATCCCAACCCCAGTAATAAAATTTTTTTCCTCCCACAGTAATTACTAAACCCAAAACATAGTTATCACACAAAAGTTTTTGGATCATCTTGAACACAAACAGGATTGTCTGTTTTGTTATATGGAAGGGTCAGAGGTGGTGGTGGGGCTCTGCGACTTTTTGTAGATCTTGGTTTAATTCCTGGGGCTGGAAGATGAGAGTTAGCTGGATTTGGGTGTGGTCTTTGTTTGATATTAATCTCTCCAGGTTCTTTCATTTTGTTAGTAAAATCAAGGAGGGGGCATTCCACTTACTGTCCTGTTGGGGTCTCAGAGTCCAAGAGATCCTCTGTTTGTGATGCTGGTTCTGCAGGTTGAAGTAACTCCTCTCTCTCTGGTTCTGATTCTGCAGCAGTCTTCTTATTGGCACGCTGTGTTCCACTGATATCTCAGTTTTCTCCAGCTGTCCTTCAGATGTCAGCTGTTGTGGTTTTTCCTGTTGTTTGTTTCTAACCAGAACTTGGTTCAGGAAATACTTCATATTTGAAACCAGAAGCTGTGCTCCAGTTTGATTCAGAGTCATTTCAGACCTGAAGAGATGTTTTCTTTCCCAGAAGAGATCAAAGTTATCCACAAAACTCACAGAGTGGTCAACACAGGACTTTTCCAAAAAAGCCATTAAGAGCAAACAGTCTGCTGAACCTCTAAGCCCCTCCTCTGGCTGTAGGGATGGGCCCACTGATGAACACATCCATGTTGAGATTTTTAACTGCAGTCACCATCAGAAAACAATCCTTCTTCAGGATTTCTGACTGTCGGTTCATAACTTCATCACTTCCTGTGTAAATAATAAGTGTATTCAAAGTTGGATACTCAGCTGAGATTTCCAGAATATTTTCTGTGAGGTCAGACACTTTATCAGCGAAACTCAAAACTTTGACTTTTTTCTTGTTCCAGAAGCCTCTGATCTCATTCACTATTTTATCTGTGATGATCAGCATTTCTTGGTTTCTGAAAGTCTCTTTTTGGACATGCTTTGGCTTTGAGCTGGAGCTGGATCTGGTCCCAGATCTCTCACTGAGATCAGATAGGGAACTTTGAACAGACTCTCCAGTTTCTTCCATTGGTGTGAATCTGTTTTGAAGAGAGACTGCGTCATTTCTCTGGCTGTTATCAGGTGTTTTGATTACATCCTGTTGCTTTCTTCTCCTTGCTGAAGGAGAAAAATCATTTCTCTGTAATTCTGGCTATTCATTGTCATCAAAGAGCTGAATCCTTCCTGAGAGATTTTTTTGTCTGGCACCAACAGAGTTCCATACAGCTTTACCCTCGAAAGCAGCTTCCATCTTCTTGTCCAGTGGCTCTCTCATCTCAGCCTTCTCACCCATTTTAACACATGTTGAGTTCTCCAAAGCATTCATCTCTTCCAAACGATGAATCTTGAGCTCCAACACTGTCACCTTTTGGAGAAGTTGGCAGAAATCCTCTTTGGAAAAGTAAGGAGGCATCTTGAAGCTTTTATTCACTCTCAGCAGATGATGTTTCAAAAATCTTCTCAGGTTCTTCAACAGCCAAAAATAAAAATTCAATGTTCTTTTTTTATTCAAGATCATCCATCACAATCATCACCAGCAAATCTCTGTTGTTAAAACAATTCACCATAAAAAGGGATATTTTCATCCAGCTGAAGTCACGGTCCTGAGCAGTCCAGTCCTTGCTCACTCATATCAGTCCACCTGCAATGTGGCCTTGGTCCGTCAATCTCCTAGTGGTCTCTGCGACAACACCAAACTGTTTTGGCAATATTTATTTAACAAAGACAGAAATACGTGGTCCAAGAATGAAGGTAGTCCGTGGAATGATCAGCTGAGTTTTATTGCAACAACAGGAAACACAGAGAACAACCTGGCCTGTCTCTATGCCTCTGCTTTTCTCTCTGTCACTGTCTCTCCACACTACCGACTGTGTCTCGAGAGGCCTCATATATATATATATTAACAAACACCATTATGTCATCTTAGCAAGATTTGAAACAAGGTCAATGGAAAACACAAAGATAAACACAAGTGATATCTAAGAATGACTGTTGTTAGCAAATCTTGTTCTGACTTTAATCATTCTATCTGCAGATGAACAGCATGTCATGAAAACCTAGGTCATTAAAGTATGTTATGAATTACTTGCTTAAACATAAAAGTATTAGTTCCATTGCATATACCCTATATTTTGAAGATTCATACATAAATCACAGATCTTTACAGATAAAATTGCACATCTTAGGGTTCTTTTCCATCACATAAACCACAGTTCTTTTAACATCATTATTAAATGACGTTATGTAGTGATAAACCCCCTATTAAAATATTAACTTAAGACTTTAACTGTAGTTACCCTTTAGGTTCGGAAAGCCCAAGTTATGGAAAACACTCTTATCACCAAAATTCACCTGAAAACTCATGAACGAGACATGGTGTTATTTTCTGCCTGTCACACCGTAACAAGGCTTTTGTTTAAAATAAAACTGAATAAAGGGATTACATTTAAGTGACTAACTAAAAGCTCTTGTCGTGATAAACTAAACAACTAA